ACGAATCCAAAATATCCATTAGAGCAAAATATGACGCACGACTACAATCAAGATTTGTTTTGAAATTTTTGAGAAAAAATGTGCACACGCTATTCGAGTGAAAACTGCACTCGTATACTTACTGGAATCATTCCCTTTTTCTGCGCACTTCGGCATTTAAAATAACAGCAAATTTTAAATTATTAGATACCAAAAACAACAAATACAAGTAGACGCTCTCAGCAGAAGTTTTCTCTGCAAAACAAATTCTCCTTGGCCCCTTATATGAGTCTCTACAAGCATCACAGTAGAATCTCCTTACAATTAAGTCATTGAGACCAGTAAAATAGCTTTGTTATAGTAAAAAAAACTTCGTTGTACACAGAACCTCAAATAACGTTGTAATTATTGAACAGGGGTTTGAAAAACGAATTCGCTGAAATGTATTATTCATAGTAACAAGATTCTACAGTGTAGAGATTCTCTCCACAAGTGATTTTTTCTGGTTCCCTGAATTTCCTTGTCAAGAAAATGCATCTGTACTACAGTAGAATCTCGTTTTACCGAATAATTGCTCACAACAAAGTCGTTTTTAGGTACCAGCCCGATTGTCACAATGTTGATTGAGTTACTGAAAAACGATTTTTCGTTGCAACGAAGCTCTTTTACTGGCCGTAATGGCTTCTTCGTAACGAGATTTTACTCAATTTTAAAAGTAAAATAAAAACAAGACACACTACAGATGACGAATGAAGATTGCAATGCGGAAAAAGAAAGACGTCCTAATCTCAACAACAAAGGCAAAAAACACGAGTCGCTCATGAGTCGTCCGAGAAGGGGAAAGTTGTCCCCGCCATTTTTTTTTATCAATACGAATTACAGAGTACTGTACTAACAATGATCAAGTAGCGATGAACACTCGTGATGAGGTCACCAGGGTCGACCCAGTCCCACTCTTGTCCGTCGCAATCCACCGTCGGTCTTATCACGACGCCAACTTCCCACGGGAACGGCTCGACAGTTTCCGCGTCATTCGCAGAGGATTCCATCGTCGTTTCGCCAGCATTTCGCACACAAGCGTCCTTCAACTTGGCCAACGTATCGCAGCCCTTGTAATAACGACTCCTCGGCTCCACGATTTCCTCCGTGTCTCGGAATATTTCTTCGTCCGCGTTCAAGGCTAGCACTTCCAAGGATCTGAAAAATGAAAAATCATCAACAGCTCGAATTTGTTCGTCGTTTTTTTTTTGACAGCAGCGAGCCTCGGAAAACTCAAAAATGTCCCATTTTCAATTTATTAATAACAGTAAAATATCATTACAACGAACTCTCATACAATTGATGAAAAATTTGTTTGCATAATACAGTACACAGTACTTGGTTTTTCAGCATGTGGAGTGAGATTTATGGGGAATACGTAGCCAATGCTTTAAAATACTTCCACGAAAGATACGTGAGGAATTGCCATAATTTCCAACTTTTTTTTCTAATTAAACGACAGAAAAGATTCAAACTTTAAAATAGAATTCTCTCATTTTATATCTTCCGTTTCTCTTTAAACAAAATTTTTAAAAAAACATACTGATCTTACAAAAGTATGAGCTGAAACAAACAGAAAATACATTTTCTGAAGAACACTCGTCCATTAACAACGGCATGTTTCCTGAAATGAACCTTAGATACATTTTAATCGGAGTTTCAGAGCATTCAAACTTCCGGCAATGTTGAATTTCCCGCATAAAAATATTCGAATTTTTATTTTTTAAATTTTCCATTACGCGAAATCAGGGTTTTCCATATTATGCCTATCAGTAAAAATTTATATGACTCATGCAGCCGTAATCAAGGTAAACATTCGCCGTATTAGGAATTCAGAGAAAAATTAGATCTTTACACTGAAATTTGCATAACACTTTCCCTTCAGCGAAACCGCGGGTACATGGAAAAAATTCTTTGTAACGATAAATTCGTCGTAACGAAAATCTACAGTACTAAGAAATAGAAAAAAAAGCGGATATCAGACACTTTCCGCAAAAATTCGCACTCTAAATCACTGAAATGCCACTTGGAGAAATTCATGAAAATGCCCCAATAACAAGTTATCTTCCTCACCTTTCATACTGCATCAGAGGAATCTGTCCATTGATCATGAGTCTCTCAATCTTCGTAGTGCCGGAATAGGCCACCACGTCACCATTTTCAAGAGACAAAACCACCAACGACAAGTCCTCCACGGGACACGCATTCAAAGCCTTGATTTCTCGCACAACACCGCACTGAAACGGACACTCGTAACTGTTTCGCACACTCTGTCGTTTCAGCTCAATCATCCGAACTTCGCCCAACGCATTCGGCAACACTAATCCGAGCCAGGTCGTGCTCGAAAAATCCGTCGACACAAACGCCTTCGTCGCCTTGCGACACAATTTCCGGTCCCATATTTGCTCCCTCGTCGTTGCTCCACAGGGTCGAACGTCAGATTCCTCCCAGATTTTCACAAGCAGCAAATCCGGGCATATTTCCTCAGCATCGTCCAGTTTGCCAACCACGGGATCTCGCAAAAAGCTCGACATTTCGATCCTCGGCTCCATGTCGGGGTCATCTTGAGCCACGCGACGCAAAGAATACCCAGTGAGATCCGCGTCGTGCACGGAAGCGACGGTTCGTTGACGCATGGAATCCACCCGGGTTTTATCCAGAAACGAGTCCCCTAAATCCTCGTCAACAATCAATTCCTCGTCAGCTATGGCTCGTATCCAACACACGCAGTGAGTGCGAGCCGAAGCATTGTAAAACACTGCCAGGGGCAGAGAATTCAAGCAAGTCACGAGTCTCATGTCGCGGTCTTGGACAAACTTTTTGTATCCGGATTCCTTGGATTGCACTGCGACCGGAACGATTTCCCCGTGCGGATGAACAACCGAGAAAACAGTGGGCAAGAGCTCGGCTCCTTCCTTGAGCAATTCGCGGGAAAGGATTCTTCGTTCGATCATGACGCCGAATTCCACGGGCCAGGCTTTCCGGGCCACGAAAGGAAGACTGACTGAATATCGCATTCCATCAGCTGCATAAAACGCCACTTGAGTCGGCATCAGCACGCACAGACATTTCAAGGAGTCGCCTGTAATTAAGGAAAAAAAAATACAGTTAGCGGGGGTCTTAATTGACGAACGTGGTCAGTTTCAATGGTTGATTCGTTGCTCAAAGCGTTCTTTATGCAATATTAACCTACGGGAAATTACAGTTGAACCTCTTCAAGCTAAACTAACTTATAATGGAATTCAGACAGGGACTTGACAAAAAGTTCGACATAGGGAGGTTCGAGTCACCGAGGTTCCCGATTTATATATTTTAAAAAGAAAATCAAATAAAATGAGGAAGAAAAATTCAAAAACTGACAATACAAAAAAAACATTGGTAACAAATCAAAGTTTCAATTTTAAATTTTTAAATCTATGCGAAACTTGAAACACAAAGGGAAATCAATTACTCCCAGGATTTTAACCTCCGATTAAATCGCATTTCCCTCCCAATTTTTGTTTCTCTTGGAGGAAATCGTAAATCTTCTTAATTTTTAGAACTTTCAAAGAAAAAATTTTTGTTGGATTTTTTCTCATATTTTTAAAACTTGACTTGATGTTTGACGTCACCTTCACACCTCTTTCAAAAGCAATGCTTCAATTTCAGACACATTCTCACTATTCTACACACCTTTTTTAAACCGTAAAATATTTTCGTCGAAAAAAAACACTCACAGCTTTCAAGAGTCGTCTGTTTCTCACGCAACGGAAGAATAGGATCACTGAAGGTGACAACGAACACGTCCAGAATCGTGTCTTTCTCCGTCTGCGTTCGCACCAACTCTTTGTGGGAACCATTTCCTTGAGATATGGTCAAGAAATTCTTCTTCCAATACAACTCGATTTCACAGTCTTCCAAAGGAAGTTCCAATCCTTTATCCTTACAGCCCTTGACTGTATACTTGCCGAATGTCATTTCAGACGCCGGAAGAAGTTTCCAACAACCACCACCGTAGTATTCGGCCTAAAACAATGAAAGAAATTCAAGTTTCAATTCATGAAAAAAATACGATTTCAAATACAGTTTGTCTCCGCATCACAAAACGAATCCGTTTCTGGGTGTGTTTTGCTATGCGACATTTTCGTGACGCAAAATGCTATTTCCTCTTAGAAAATAAGATGTAAAAAATTGAATCCACTCCCAAGATTTTATGGGAAAAAATCAGAAATCTTCAAAATTAAAATTAAACGAAGTTGCAAATATACTTCTACACTCACTCTGCTGGTGATCCACACTATTTCTTCATTCTTTTTCAGAAAAATTCAACGCGGATTTGATCTTTGAATGTTGTAAACAGACATCACCAAAACGTCTTTTATCGTTTCGTTTCAAGTATTTGAGTCGGCTGAAATGGGTTTTTAAAGCTGAAAACTACTCATGAAAACAGAGATCGAGGCTCAGAGGATGCCTAAAATTTTAATTTCAAATGCCCTGGATTAAAACAAAAATTTCGTATCGCGAGACATTTTCGTTACGCGAGTAATTGTCTTGCTCACGAAATTTCCGAATGCAAAAATGTTCGTTATGCGGGGACTAAAATGTACAACACACAGACCTTCTTTTCCAGGATTTTCCCATCGTGGAACGTGTTCCTTGGATCACCGAGAGATTCAGAACTTCCAGTCGGATCCAAAGCATCCGCAGGTCCAACGTGTTCCGTTAATGGTTTTCCAAACGGAGAAAAAACCTGTAACATTACAATCAATGTTTCGTACGAAGATTTTTCCAAAATTCGCGCTTCACGTCATACCTGCGGGTGATTCACGGAAATCATTGCAAAGGTAAGAAAAATAACACTGAACGCTCACAGCTTCGGTTTCATAATCTATCACACGTCATCGAAGGCAATCTGAGGAAAAAAAAATGAACACCGTAAAAAATCGAATCATCACGCAAAATATTCACAAATTCAGCAAAAATAAAATATTAAATGACGCAGGTGTAAAATAAACATACATAATTGTTTATTCACAATCTTTTAGGGACATGCCTCCGTAAATAGTTGAACATGTGGTTACTGGGATCGTTTCCACAAAAAGAAGAGTTCGATCGGTTTGTTCTGACGCCAATGTCGTTCGTGAACGTCTTTCAGGCTCCAGGAAGAATTCAGCAACGAGTATCCACCTGAAGGTAGAGGAATGTAGATGGCAAAGTGTCCAGGCTTCGAACTTCCCGGACCATCTCCGGAAAAGCCCCAGTCCAAAGTACCACGAAGCGCGAGGTACGTGCTGATGTGCTCCACTGTGAGTAAAAAAAAAGATTACACAAAATTTGTCAATGACAAACTCAACATTCTCGAGATTTTTTTCGTGAATTGATATTCTGAGAAACGATTCCAACCTGAGGCAACACCAGGAGCTTTGATGTACTTCAAGTCACGAATGGGTTCGTCAGGATGTGGCTTCAACTCCAAATCGAATTCTTGATCGCGACCCTGCGCAGAATCCGTTTCAGCACTGGCATCGGCGTAGGAACTTTCGGAATTTGAACAAGATTCATTTTCCGAAGGGAACTTCTGTCGCTTTTTGGTTGAGAGGGTTGATGGTTCTGGAGGAGTAGACGGCGCACTGGGAATCGGAGTTCCGTTGTCATCGGGTCCTTGAGTCGGATTGGTCTTTCTGGAACGCTGAGGTTTATTTTGTGCCTGGAGCTTCATTCCTTCTTCGATGGAACTGACGAGCGCGGCTTGACTGCAGCTTTTGCTCAACGTTGCCAGGACTTTCTCTTGCTGAGCTTCGTATTCGTCACGACTGGGATAAATCTTCGCAATAAGATCATCGAAATTGGGATCCGGGCGAAGAGAACGTTTGGATACGAGCTTTTTGCGACAAGTCGGGCATTCCTTGTTTCCTGAACGCAGCGCAGTGATGATGCACTCTTGACAAAACCGATGCAGACATTCCTTGGTAGTCATTGTGCTCTTGAGCAGCTCAAGGCATATTGGACACATCAGCTCGTTGTGGAGACATCTCGGAGACACGGCGATTTCCGTGTTGTCCGTGACAGCTTCTTGAGGAGTGCGATGCAATTCATACAGCGAAAGCTCCCAGGTTTTGCTGCCCGAAGGATCTGCAGCCATTTTCAACGGAGGAATCCACACTCGTTAACCAAGGCTCATTCTTCGACAGTCCTGAAATCGTAGAAGTAACTTTATAATCGAGCGTTCCATTTACGCGCGAGTTTGGAACCAGCCGCACTCGGCAAAATTGCAAAACAAGCTGACGCTCCACTTCACAACTGATGATCACATGAGATGAAGTAAAGTACTTTTGAAAAGTTAGCAATCCACAGAAGGGTGCGTTCAGAACACAATCCTAGCACAGACGTGAATTGCACGTAACACCAGGAGGGGAATCACCCGGCTTAAACCATCTTTCGAACTTCTCACTGCACGAGTGAGAATAAGATCACATGCAATAGGGACGCGCGGATTGATGTAAACACGGTCATCAGAAGGTCTGAATAAACCAAATCAGCCGATGTCTTCAATCAAGGTGAGAACGTGCACCACGGAGTACAATGTTTCCAACGTTGCTCTCGACGCAAAAAGAACGAGTGAAACGGAGACTTCGTTTTCTCGATCACCCACGGTAGAAGCGACCCTATTCACGGCTATGTCACTTCGCAGGGAAAGGAATCCCACAAAACACTCAGTTCCTCACGGAACTTCCTCCGGGCGGGATCACGAATTGCGGCACACCAAGGGCGCGGCCATCTTGCAGCAGAGCCAGCCGAACCCACGACAACTAAACACAGTGTTTGAACTTTTCTGAGTCAACATGTGAGGGAATTTCTGAGAAGTCCTACACTTTTGGGGAAATTTATTAATTTTCACATCACTCCCAATTAACATTCGATAATAGCAGATGAGTGAACGCTGCATCAAATACACAGCATATATAATGTAATACTGTAGAACTGTGCATAATATGTACCATAATGCACCAATACCTGGTATGCTGTGTATATAGACACTTATGCTCTGGTAGCTATAGCTTAAGCCTATTTCAAAAAATGTCTTAGTTTTCTTAGCTTTTAAGCATTTTTTATTGTTCCAAATAACAATATCTACCTCAGTAAATGTTTCTAAAGCCTCCTGTTAATCAAGTGCCAGCATGTTGGTGATAAACTTGGGAGTACCATGCATCAGTTCCAGAAAAACCAAAAATGAAACTTTAAAAATTCCCACTCACTTAAACAGCAACATCAATAACTGCTAAGTTTGGTGTTTACCAGTTACAGACACCAGTGTGCTGCTGCTATCCATCAGCAGTGTCTGAATGTCTGTATGATGGTTAAAGACCTATACACAGACCCATAGAAAAAGTCCCCATCAGTGCCCATAACAGGTAGTATGGGTGACCCTTTCATGTTACATGTACACCTAAAATATATTCTGTGCTGAGGGTATGCTATATGTGGGGTATGCTATTTAATTGTGATGCAGCAGGTATAGTAAATTACTTCCTGGGCTGCAGTAGAATTTTTAAAACAGAAACAATGTGATGATGAACATTGATGTCTCATTTTAGTTATTCCTGTCAATGCATTTCATCTCATAATAATCTCAAAATTGGGACAAAAGCACAGACATGCAGTATTGAGAATAGATTTCACATGAATGAATCTCAGCTGAAGCTAAAAATATTTAACTTTAAGAAATTATTCAGCAAGAGACACTTTGTTAACCGAGTTTTTCATTTTTTAAAGTTATAAGTTACATAATAATTTCCTAATGGGAGCATTTTTCATGAAAAGGAAACAATTTACATTACAGTGCATGAATTTCTGCAAAATGTGTTGTACTGTAATGGTATTTGCTGCAATGAGATTTTACTGTATTTCCCAGTTTGATGCAGGATCTGCTGTTGTATAGTCAATTAGTCACAGGATATGATAATCTTTTTCATATGGAACTCACCACACATCTATTTTAATGATGAATTTTCAGAAAATTGTTGGCCTGGTTTTGGAGCAGTGGCAAGAAGAATACAGTAATTCTGTTTCTGCAATAAGTGGAAAAATATCTTGATTGGATTCTGATTTTTGTAGTTTACATTTGATGATTTTGAAATAATTTTCTTTTTTTATTCAATACTTCTTACGTTATTCTATATTTGGGAATTCATTGATTGCATAAAATAACTGCTGCTGCATTATTAAACTAAAACTCAAATGCATTTCCTCATCTCTTCTGGTGCGTGCTTGTGAACTTCCTCTGGATGAGGAGAAAGTCCCCGTACCTGTCGAAAAATTTTCAGAAAGTCACTAGGTGTCGCTCCACGTTTTCATTGCTCAGAAAATGTTGCAAGATTCGCCTAATTGAGGGTAATTCTTCGAAAAAATGGTCCATTCTATTAAACCAGCGTAAAATAAGACGGAGTATTTCTTTAAATATCTTGACACTTCTTTTTCGTGAAAGCTCATGAAATTCTTTTTTCTGTGTGCCTCCGTATATATTGTTCGCGTGGAACTGTGGAGAAACAGACAGGTTTGCTCTATTTAAAAAATATAAAAAAACTTGTGCTTTCCCTTGAACTGAAGCATTTTCGCGTATCAGGATCACTTCGCAATATGTCGTCACGGAGACTCCGACTTTCAAGCCTGGCTTTTCTTTTCTTTTGCCCTCAATTTCACGGAGTTGTTTCTGATGATGTGTCTCAAGTGCTTTCCATCATACCGAAGACCGAACTTGAAATTGGAAAAATTGTTGAAGCCCGAAGTCGTTTTGTGTTGGATTTCTGGAGTGGGGAGAATCGGGTGGACGTTGGCAAGCCTGTTGATGTGCGTGCTTCGGGTGATGAACTGAAGAAAGGGTGTTCTCACCCCGGTCGCAGCCCGACCGAATTTCTGAGTTTTATTCAAGCTTTCATACTCTATTCCATTCTCAAATAAGGTTCACTGTCTAAATCTTCATTTGTTGGGTTTATTCCTGACAGTAATAGCAGTAATTTTGTTTCTGCAGTAAGTGGAAAAATATCTCGATTGGATTCTGATTTTTGTAGTTTAAATTTAATGGTTTTGAGATGGTTTTCTTTTTTTTATCATATTTCTTATGTTATTCTTTGTTCGGGAATTCATTGATTATACAGTAGAATAAATGCTGTTGCATTACATCCAGTAAAACTTAAATGCATTTCCTCATCTCTTCTGATGCGTGCTTGTGAACTTCCTCTGGATGAGGAGAATGTCCCCGTACCTGTCGAAATATTTTCAGAAAATAACTAGGTGTCGCTCCACGTTTCCATTGCTCAGAAAATGTTTTAAGATTCGCCTAATTGAGGGTAATTCTTCGAAAAAATGGTCCATTCTATTAAACCAGTGTAAAATAAGACGGAGTATTTCTTTAAATATCTTGACACTTCTTTTTCGTGAAAGCTCATGAAATTCTTTTTTCTGTGTGCCTCGTCCGTATATATTGTTCGCGTGGAACTGTGGAGAAACAGACAGGTTTGCTCTATATAAAAAATATAAAAAAACTTGTGCTTTCCCTTGAACTGAAGCATTTTCGCGTATCAGGATCATCACTTCGCAATATGTCGTCACGGAGACTCCGACTTTCAAGCCTGGCTTTTCTTTTCTTTTGCCCTCAATTTCACGGAGTTGTTTCTGATGATGTGTCTCAAGTGCTTTCCATCATACCGAAGTCCGAACTTGAAATTGGAAAAATTGTTGAAGCCCGAAGTCGTTTTGTGTTGGATTTCTGGAGTGGGGAGAATCGGGTGGACGTTGGCAAGCCTGTTGATGTGCGTGCTTCGGGTGATGAACTGAAGAATTTCAAAGATTATCTGCGAGGAAACGTGAGTCTTTTTCGAAATGGACTTTTCAAATTTTGGCGTATTTTTTCACGTTTGCATAAAAAAATTGACTTGAATTGTTTTACCGTATTTTTCCAAATTATTTTCATTTGGCAAATGGTGAATACTGAATTAGATAAAGTGATATATAAAGATTTCACATTTTTTATAATTTTATTGCTCATCTTCCTTGATTTTAAATTCATTTGAGTGAACCAGCAAAATAAGATTCAAATTATTAATTCAAGCACATTTTTTCCATTGTCATAAATAAATATATTTTTGGGGGCAATTTATGATTGAAATAAGTAGCAGTATAATTTGAGGTTTAATATTGGGTTGAGTTTTTCTTGAGTTAAAAAATGAATTTCATCTACTATAATAAAAATACTTGCCGTCCTCGGTTCGCAGTTTTTTTAATTTTCACCAGCCCTCCCTTCCTTCCTGCTCCTTACCTCCCTCTCACAGAGCCCCAGAGACCTGCAGGAGGGTCCCATTTCCCGTTTTTCAAAGTTTGAAAATTTGGGAAAAATCGAATTTTTGACCAAATCAACTTCTCAAACTTTATAAAAAGCGCCATGATGTTTTCTAAATTTTCCTTTTTTAAATTTTGAAAAAGCTTCAAAATTGGCCAAGTTACAATGAAAATCCCATCATGGATAATTTGAGAAAAAACACTTTTACATTTGTAATTTTAACTTTCTCAGTTTTCAACATTTCACTATGAAAAAAAAACGTAAATTTGCAAAACATCTATGCACAAACTCTCCTAAAAAATAATTTAAATTGAGTAGAAAACACAAAAGTTATGATGAGCTGAAGTGAAAAACGGGAGGTCTCTGGAAAAAATCCGTTTTCTATTTTTGAAAGTTTATGAATTTGTAAAACACCAATCATTGTGCAAAATCTGTAATTTGAATGTTTAATGAGTGCGCCATGATGGTTTCAACATTTTATTTTTTGAAACTTTGAAAAATATGAAAAACTGACCAAGTTAAAGTCAAAAATGTGAAACATTTTTGAAATTGGCCAGAAATGTAGGACAAAAGATTTCATTGTTTGAATTTTTATGATTGGATTTTCAACATTTGTGAATGAAAAAATTACTAAGTTTGTAAAACATCATTGTGCAGACAACCTCAATTGAAATTTTGAAATTGAGTAAATATTCAAGAAATCAGAATGAGCTAAAGTGAAAATCTCAAATTATCCATCCTGATTTTCTTCCATTTTGTCAACTTTGAAATTTTGCCAAAATTTGAATTTTCAACCAATCTCCAAATTTGTAACAGTCTTGAATAAATAAAATCCCCCTGCTCATGTGCCAGTTGTGGCCCACCGGGCCACAACTGGCGCATTGAGCACAATTACAAAATTACCGTTGGTCCTTGAACAAGTAACCAGCTTTAGTACCATTCATTTTTTTAAACTTAATGCACAGAGATGTGACTGGGCCACACAACTGGGCATGCTCTCTTCCAGATCAAAATTTTAACATGGAAAATCTGTCCAATGCCCAGGTGTGGCTGGGCACCCTCAGCTTGTCACTTTTAATAATTTTAATAAGTTCCTTTATTGAGAGAATCTTCAATGAAGAAAATTTTGAGGCTTATTAATGGCCATTCAACTTTCATAGATTTTCTTGATAGGGGAAATATTATTTGAATGGTAAAACTGCTTGACAAGACAGAAGTTTCTGGCATAAGCAGTCCAAAAATTGTCCCATGGTCAAATAATTCAAAAACTGGACTTTATTTCAAATCTGTTCTCCTTTTTAAGACCTATTTACATAAATTTTACTCAGTTTTAAATCAAGTTTCAGAGGATTCCATGTATGAAAAATGAATTTAATTATATACTGTACATGACATTATAGTTCAATCACTTCATCACCAGTTTATACACAGGTGATTGAGTTCAAAATAAATTTATTGAGTAGACTGTTCATTTAAGATTCAATTTCCAAAAACTTTTTTAATAGGGGAAACATTTTTAAAAGAGAGAACAGCAGAAGTGAAATTATTTTTGGCAATTACAGTTCAAAATTTTTCATTGCAAAATTCAAAAAATTGGAACAGGTTTTTTTTAGAATCAGATCTCCTTCTTGTGGGTTTATTGGCATACTTTTGCATTTTTAGCTGCAGAGGATTTTCATAAGTATGAAAAATAAATTTCATTTTGCTGTTGCATGACATTAGTTTAGTGACTTGATTTCCAATTTGAAAACAGGGTACTGAGTTGAAAAATAGCTCAAAAGTTTCTTTGAGGAAAAGAAATGAAATTATTTCTGGCCAGAAGTTCCATTTTTTTTATTGTAAAATACTGTACTAGGAAAAACTGAAGCTGAGAGTAAGAAAAACTTCTTTTCTAATCTGATATCAATTTTGGAATTTATTGACAAATCTTTGCATTTTGAAAATTGTATGTTACAGAGCATTCAGTATACCATTCAGATTGAGAATGTGGATGCTTTCATAGCAGAGCAAGCACTTGTGTCTTCAAGGACAGCAGTCTCAGAGAGATCAGTATTCAACTTCCATGACTACCACCAGGTGTCACTTATGGAAAAACAGCTCCTGGCTTGGGAAAGACAGTATGGAGTCAAAAGAGCCTTTGCTCACTCTATTGGCTCTTCATTTCAAGGAAGGGACATTCTTGGCATGAAGGTTTCATTTGGTGAAACTGACAGACCTCTGATTGTGATTGAAGCAGGTGAAACATTGTTATGAAAATTCTGGTATTTGTGCAATTGTGTTATATTATTTGTCAATAAGTGGTTTCTCATCCCCTCAGGCATTCATGCAAGAGAGTGGATCAGTCCTGCAACTGCCATGTACATTATAGACCAATTGCTGAAATCAGGACCTGATTCCCCTGTGGCAGCTTTTGATTGGTTCATCATTCCTGTGTTAAACCCTGATGGTTATGAATACAGTTTTTCAAGAAACCAGGGAATGTTCCCCCTGCAAAACANAAATTTTTCATTTTTTATGTAATTGAATTTGTGTAAAGGACTTTTTGTCTAACAGACTTGTCCCTTGCACGAATCAAGTCCATTAGACGGGGGTTGACTGTACTGTAATAGCAACATATGAAGAAGAAATGAAAATAAAGTTCATACCTGTTCAAGTCCACTCCAACACAAGCTGTGGTTGGAAATGTAGCTCTGTTCTTCCTCCATAACCTGGGTCTGTCTGATGGGTCTTGGTTCAACCCAAGCAACCAGGAAATTATGTTTTGCAGGGGGAACATTCCCTGGTTTCTTGAAAAACTGTATTCATAACCATCAGGGTTTAACACAGGAATGATGAACCAATCAAAAGCTGCCACAGGGGAATCAGGTCCTGATTTCAGCAATTGGTCTATAATGTACATGGCAGTTGCAGGACTGATCCACTCTCTTGCATGAATGCCTGAGGGGATGAGAAACCACTTATTGACAAATAATATAACACAATTGCACAAATACCAGAATTTTCATAACAATGTTTCACCTGCTTCAATCACAATCAGAGGTCTGTTAGGCAGGGGGCCACTGTACTTTGAAGACATATGTACCTTTTTGTATAATACATAATTTTAAATTGTTGCTCAGATTTTATCATGATCCTTTCCTATAGGAATTTTCCAACAGCCTGGGGTGAGCCAGGGGGTTCAACTGACCCATGCTCTGAACTGCATCAAGGACCCAGAGCAGCTTCAGAACCAGAGTCAAGAGCCTTGATGCAGTACCTCAGCACAAATACTACCAAAATTGCAGCATTCCTGAGTTTGCATTCTTATGGAAGCAAGATTCTTTTTCCATGGGGACATTCAAAGAATATGACTGAACATTATGAAGACCAGATGCACATTGGGAAAGCCATGGAGGCAGGCATCAGGAAGTCTGCATTGAATCAAGGCAGAAACAGCTACTATTCAGTTGATGCAGCAGGTGGTGTTCCCTCATTATTTTCAGTTCATTAAACACATTAGTAATTTATTAACAGTTATAATGAAATTCTAAGTGGACAATATATTCAGAGATGACTCAAACTCCAAACAACAATGATAATCATTTGCATAATCATCCGTTGAAAAAAATTTAAAGCGTGAAGTTGTGTCCTTCTCATTCAAAATGAAATTTTGTAATTTTACAACTGCATTTCCAACACAATTTTCTAAAAAAAAGGCAAATTATTTGAATTAAGAAATCATTCTTTCTAATAATTTGATTCTTTTTTCAGGCAACATATAGAGATATAGTGCACTGCCATATGCTGAGAGTTGTTCATGGATGGTCTTTGGTTTTCACATTTTGTTATTTAGGCATGAGTGTTTTTACCTTCATTTGCAGCAAGAGGCCTTTATGTTTCATCTGGGGTCTCAATAGACTACACTTATCATGTCTTGAAGATCAAGTACAGCTATGTGGTTGAGCTGCCTGGATTCATACATGATCAAGATCACAAATTTTTGCTACCAGCCAGTTACATCAAACCTATTGGCTCAGAAACCTTTGCTGGGCTTGAAAGCTTTGCTGTTGAGCTGTCAAAAAGAAATAGATATGCATTGTGAACAAATTGTCCTTTTAAAAACTTTGATGAAAAGGAGAGTCTGGGTTTCAGGGATATTTGTGACCTATTATATATAGCACAGCATCAAGTCTATTATTGGATTGCAAAAGTTAATACATTTGCTCTTTGTCTGCCCATTATATAATCCTATATTCACTTCATCAGGGGTCTCAAATAGAATACACGTATTGCATTTTATCAAATATTCAGTGTAGCATCAGGTTGTGGTACAGGTATTCATATAGTTTGCCACTGCAAAATTGACTCAATTTGTGCAAAAGACCAGTCTGTTGTGTGAAAAGTCTGTTATGCAACTCCATTACTAGAAAATTAAAAGTTTGGCTTTTTACCATTAATTTTAAACCAACAGAAGTCTGTTGTGCAAAAGTCCATTACGCAGGAGGTCCATTGCGCACGCGTTGACTGTATTGGATTCATATAGATTCATACCTTTGAAGAGCATAAAAAAGATTGTGCCAGGAAATGTTGCTCAACTGCTGTGCATTTTTTGCAAAGCTTTCCAGGATAAAAATATATTTAAATATATTCAGGTTATTTTCACAAAAAAAGGTATAAAAAGTCAGTTGACCAGATTTTTATAGTCCTCAGGTTCAGAGCTAGTGGGTCTCCAAGTCTTGAAGTGTTCAAATGCAGCACAATGGTTGGCTGGAACTAGCACAGGATCATCCAATCTAATACAAACATGGTAAGGTTTGCATTGAGAATTGTCCACCATGGCTTTGCACTCCTCTCCACACTTGTGCTGAACAATGCACTCATGTCTTTGTAAAGAAAAATGATTTATAATGTAGAATATTGTGAGGTATACACATGTGAGAAACATATGCACATACTTTTGATGGTTGAACTTTGACATGCACATGCACTCCAACAAAGGGAGGGACAATTTTGATGTTTCACTGGTGCTCATATTGCAGAAATCTGAACCTGAAGCTGCTCTTTCTGCAGAAGAAAATAAAAGATGACTTGAAGAACATATGATCAAGCTGGTTTGGGGATGAGGTCCTACCACTTGCCTGATCCATCAAAAAAGTCATCTAGTTTCTCTTTCTTTGCTTGGTCTTTGGGTGTGTCTTCTTCAGAGGGATCCCAAGTCCTTTTCAGTCCCTTATTTGATGGATGGATATCTGGGTCATCATCCCTTCTATTTGTCTCTTGTGCCTCCAAATTATTGTCCTGTTTGATGTTCAACAGTTGGCAGATGTCATCCTCCAGGTATTTCATTTGGTACATTGGACTGTACCTGCATGAGGATGAAGGACCATCTCATTTCATTATTATAGCAAACAGTCTCAGGAAAGTCAAATTAGTTTGAACCTCAGTTTGACCACAGCATAAACAGGTACTTACGGGTACATATGGGTACTTTCCCATTATCTCAGTACCCACTTTTCCTCATCTCGTGAATTCAGTATATTTGTTAGGCTAGGTTAGGTCAGTTTATGTTAATTGAAAGATATTTGTAACTGACATAACCTGACCTAACCTAACTTTACCTAAACGCCGCCCAAAATCAGTTTAAGCAGAATGCGGAAAAATGAAATTCACAGTTTCTGGTAGGTGCAAGGAAAGTAGGTACTGAGATAACAGAAAAGTACCAATTTTACAGCTGACCATCATACAAAGCCAGCTCAGAAGAACCTCAAAATTGGTATTTATTCACCAAAGCAAAATCAAATATTTTAATCAAGAGTAAAAGACTGTTGAGGCACATTTGCATATGTGAAAATGTTTTGCTGAATTCAAAATGTATGTTTAAAGGTTGATAGCGGTGTACGGTCAAACCCCTGCACAACAGACCTTGATCCTGTGCAATGGAATTTTGCACAATGGACTGCCTCTGGAAGCAGTTTTTCTCCCTGTACAATGGACTAAATCCACATAACAGACTTCTGTTTCTTTAAAATTAATGGTAAAAAGTAAAAAAACAAATCATAAATTAATTTGCATGACTGACTTATTTTCTTACAGCAGACTTTTCAGTTGCACAAATTCAGTCTGTTGAGCAGGGGTTGACTGTGTATAGAACTGAAGCTTATTCAATGACACCTTTTGACAACTCTCCCATTTTGGTCAATCAGGAACTTCTCAAAATTTCCACTGATATCATATCTGAAGAGTGGATCCCAGTAATGGAAGGTTTCATGCTTCAGGAGATACAAGGGATCATCCACAGGACATGGGATTTCTCTCTTCAAAAACTGCAGAAAAAGCTTTCAATAAAATATATCTTGCAAGTCCTATAGCCTATATATACCTCAAACATTGGCAAGGCATCTTTGCCATTTACATCAATCCTCTCAAACATGGTGGCCTTTGGTACAAATCCCTTTCCAGGGCGCACATGCTTCAGCATGTTTAAAATTTCTTCCTCACCAAATGCATTCTCCTGGACAAAAAGAAAAAAAACATGATTCAGAGTAAAATTACTGAAAGAATATTTAAAATTTGATAAAGCACTTGCTTCAAAGCAGAACTGGTTGCAAGGGAAAGCCAGGATGAGGAACTTGTCACAGGGAAACTTCTCAACCAGGTCATTCATTTGGTTGTACTCTGTGACAGTGAGTCCACAGAAAGATGCTACATTCACCACCACACACACTTTCCCTTGGCACATCTCTCTCATGCACACCTCAGAGCCATCTGCCAGTCAACAAATCAATAATTTCAGTCATCTGATGCAGTAAAATCTTATTACAAGAAATACCATTACTGCACTTTCTTTTAAACTCAACAAACTTCATTCCAATAACAGACATCCTATATAGGGTACATGTTATAAAAATCTGGTTACAACAACCTCTCCAACATTCCAGTACAACAAACTTGTTTTTTGAGGAACATGATGGGATTTTCTAAAATAAAAATCCTCAAATGAAGGCACGCTGACCCAGTTTCAAATTTCCCATACAAAATTTTACTGTGACTCATTCTTGGGACATATAAATGGAAGGTGGAATCAAGGACATATATTCTTCAAAAATTCACCTGAAATATCCTCCCTTTCAAGATTTTCTTGAGAGAAATCCTACTGATGATACTGAACAAGTGTATGCTTCTTTTGGAACATCCATCCTTATATACAAATCTAAGCAGGAATTGCTTAGAAGAGTATAAAGTCCACAAAAAGTACATGTGCTCACCTATCATTCAAAGTGAATGTTTGGTACTTTCCTGTTACCTCAGTACCTACTTTCCTGTTATCTCTGTACCTTCCCTCTGAC